TCGTGGGTAAACTTTTTGGAGGGAGATGGAGTCTAGCAGGAGAAGGCTGTAGGCGTATAAAACTCAGCTTCAGATTTTTGCTGTCAAGCAGTGAAATCTCTTGTCAGCCTCAAGTAACCCTGTGTATGTTCCCCAGCTCTTCACTGTTGTCAGGAAATGTTGCAAGTACCCTATTTGGTACTCTTCTTCCTTTTTTTTCTCTTGAGATCTTGCATTTAAGTTAATTAATGGTCCTTTGAGGAAACGGGGGGGAAAAAAAGCCCTTTGAAAACAGATTTTGGCTATTAAATTTCCTACTTTTTAATTCCAGTGCCGTCATCTTGTATTTTTATGATGCTTTCAGATTTTTCTGTTGTCTACTATCCACATTCAGAAATTTTTTAAAGTAATTATAGTGAACATTGTTATATAGAAGAGGAAAGTGAGGCTCAGAGATTCAGAAGTGACTTTCTGAATTAATTTATATTGGGTGATTGTAACCTATAGTATCAGACTGTCTATTATTAGTGTTGCTTATATTGCAGAATTTTTTCAGCACTGTAACTTGTCTTATCCTAACTAAGCTGTTGTAGACATTAATTCTTAGATGAACTTAAAGTAATAATTACTTAATTTTTATAAAACATTTCATTAGCAGACCATTCTATTATTGTGGCAGAAAGAAACATGACATAGAATTCACCTTCCAAATACACATCAACAGGCTTTTGTTTTCTGTAATATGTGTTGCTTTTATATCCTTTAATTTTCTCAAATACCCTCTTTTATCATCCTATACCCTATTCTCTACAAATATTTAATTTTTCCTCTATACAACTCCCTCTTAGGACTTAACATTTATCTAAGGTAGTTTATCTTTTCCGTCTTTCCATTTTTCTCTTTTATAAACTTTCTGTAATACTGTTTAAAAGTAACTTAAATATCATGTTGACACTTTGGACAAAGCAGTTTTATTCCTCAGCTTCCCCCCCCTCCCATTAACCTAGCATTTACAAATTGACAATGCTCACACATTCCTTTTATATTATTCTACCTTTTCTGTGGCATTTCACCAATGTGCAAGACTGCACATGAAGGTACGCTTAGGAAAACATGATGAACACCCATATTAGTACGTCTAATTACTATCATTTCATGCCTACAATGTGAAAATGGTCTGATGAAAAGCAGCAGCCTTGTTCCTGGTCTCGTCCAAGGAAGGTGAGCTTTGTGTTGCCAGTGGAGTGCAGTTTTCATTCAGAACCCTTCTCCTGTGTCCTTTTTCTGTCTTTGCCTAAGTCCACATCCACTAGTAACTTCCCAGCCCTCGCTCTGTCTTATAGTGCCCAAGTAAAGAAGGTATCTGAAATCCAAGATTAAGAGGAGATGTTACATAAATTATTTTAAGGGTAATTTAAATAATTGGATGTTTAATAGAGGATGATTTCTGCATTCTCAAGGGGTTGGTGATAGTGGAAATGGCCTATTTATACATGGCTGTTTTAAGATTGAGACCTGTAACTATCCAACTTACTTACTACTAACCTGTCAATTTAAAAAACTTTTCTTGGGGTGCCATGGTGGCTCAGTCAGTGAAGCATCTGCCTTTGGCACAGGTCATGATCTCAGGGTCCTGGATTGAGCCTTGCATCAGGCTTCCTGCTCAGCAGCGAGTCTGCTTCTCCCTCTCCCTCTCCCTCTCCCTCCACCTCCCGCCCTTCCACCACCCCCCCCCCCCCCCCCCCCCCCCCCCCCCCCCCCCCCCCCCCCCCCGTGCTCTCGCTCTCTCTGTCTCAAATAAATAAAATCTTAAAAAGAAAAAAAAATTTTCTTGAGTGTTGGTTATGTGGCAAACACAAAGATAAATTAGAGTCCCCCACTTCCAAGGAAGCAATTTATTATTAGGTAGGAAGAATAAGCTTTGAAAAAAAAATTATGAAAGATTCTATAACATGCGCTGTGGTGACAGTCCGGAAATGAGTTTTGCTTGTAGATTTCTAGGCAAATTCTGAGAACCACCTTTTCTGTCCTCATCTGGAACCTGGCTGTTATCCATAGCACTGAAATCATATGCATACCTGTGCTTGTATTATGCTTATTAGGACTATTGCAGGAATTGATCCCATGTCTTTTCAGGTAAAGACCTTGAAAAGTACACTTGTCTGAAATACTCTTTTTCCCTGTCATGTACTCAAAAATCATTTTATCCAGATGAATGGGGGAAGTCTTATGATTTCTGTGGCCAAATTTTTGACCTGTTGAAATGGAAAATTTCATACATATATATGTAATTTAGCTGTTACCCAGCTCTACTGCAGTAAGGAGAGTATGACAATGCTTAGTGCTCTCTTATTCATGGGGGGTGAGGGCTCTCTTACTCATGACCTTATTTAAAAGCCGAATGAAAACTCAGTTGGCTATGATGAGAAAGAGCCAGCATTGATGTTTTACTGATGCCAAATATGACTGCATAAAGCTTTATTAAACAGGGTGTGGTTCGGTTGGGAGTTTTGCCTTTGAGTATGGAGTTTTAAGATAAATATCAGAAAGCAGGATTCCTGTAACCCAGCCATTCATGCAGCCAGCTCTTGACGAGTTTAAGTATGATTTAGCAAATACCACCCAGAAGAAATGAAATTGAAATTGATAAATAAAGGTTTAAATGTATGTTCATAACTTTATTAAAATGTATGTTCATAACTTTACAGAAAAGTGAAAGGCAATTAAGTATTTTCTTTGCTAGAATTTAAGTGACTGTTAATAAGGAAATGAAATAATGGTGATAGCATTTATTTAGGGCCTTCTGTATATAACTATATCCTGTTTTCTTTTATACTTCAATCAATTTCTTCTCATTCTCTTTTACTCTTTGCTCTTTCTCTGCCTGACTCCTAAATGCCCTTGCTCCTCAGAGCTCGCTCTTTGGCCCTCTTCCTTCTGAAGCTTCTCTCTGTGTGAACCCATCTATTCTAAGTTGACATTCTCAGTACATTATCTCTAAGGCAAAACTCTCTTCAGAGCTCCTGACTAGCAATTAGGTGTCTCACAGATGTTTCTGACTAACACTGAGAACTGAATTCTTGGTTTTCCTGTAAATACTGTAAATAATCTGCCTTCTGCTTCCCTATTGAAGCTTTTTTTGTTCAGGAAATGGTTCTCCTATTCATGTACTCCTGAAGGAAACCTAGGTGACATTTTTTAATCTTCCCTTTCCCCCTTATGCAAGCCACCAGCGATCCCTGTTCATTCTGCCCTCAGATATTTCCCAAGTCTGCGCACCTCTCTCTTTCTCCATCTGCCCTCCCAATCTAGGTCACTATCATCTCTCAGCTGCGAAATCTCTTGCTTTCCTTGTTCCATTTTGCTCCCTTCCCTCCTTAATCCTATTCCCAGAAGGCACCAAATTTAGTTTTCTTTATTAGATTGTATCATCCTTTTGCTTAAAAAAAAATTCCAAGGCTTCACATGGACCTTATGATAAAATCCAAAGTTTTACCCTATCTGAATTGCCCTGCTTAATTTAGCTCTTGCCAAGCTTCCCGCCTTTATCTTCTGTCACTCCCAGCTTGCTCTCTTGCCTCAGCCACACCTCTTTTCTTGAAACTCTTGGAGACTAAGCTCTTTCTTGCGTAGGGTCTTTGTCCCACTGCCTGGGGTGCTCCCATCTACCACTTCATGCCAATCCCTGATCCCACCTTTCTCTGCTTGCCCCTGACCGCTTGACACACAAACACTACTTGGTGACTTTCTAATCCTTTACATCTAGGTTTATTTAGAAATAAATTTCCTTGCTACTTTATCTAAATGAGGTCTCTCTTCATTCTTTACAGGAAACTTCCTTAGACTTCTCTTTATCTAAAGGAGGTCTTTCCCCTCCATTCCTTAAAGATGACTTTCCTTTATCTAAAGAAGGTTTCCTCTCCCTATTTCCAAATAATCTCTCTCAGTCAATTGTTGGTTTCCTTCAGAACACTTGTAACCATGACTAATTTCCTTGGTTATATTCTCCCCAAATGGAATGTAAACTCCACCAAGAGCAGAAACCAAGGTTGTGTTATTCATCTTGGTGCCTCCACCACCCAGCACTGTGCTTTATGTAGAGCATGCACTCAATCCATTTCTTTTTCTGAATGAATAGGAAAAAAACTAAAGAAAAAGTCTCTTGATTAAAAACTCAACTCCTGATTATTTTGTCTTCTGCTCATTTTATCCTGATAAGAAATTGAATACTGATCCTATTCTTTGGCCAGGGATTGATTAATCCTCTGAAGAGAGAAATCTGATAGTCACTTAAAGTGAAATAGAACAGTTCTGAAACAAGTTTTCCAAAAGGAAAAATATTAATATTTAGAATTGCCATACTTTATTTTTTTTAAGATTTTATTTATTTGACAGAAAGAGAGCACAAGCAAGGGGAGTGGCAGGCAGAGGGAGAGGGAGAAGCAGGCTCTCTACTGAGCAGGGAGCCCTACATGGGGCTCAGTCCCAGGACCCCAGATGCTTAACCTACTAAGCCACACAGGCATCCCATAGAATTGCCATACTTCAGAATCATTTATATATATATATTTTTTGTTTAGCATTCAAGATATAGAAAGTCTATAGCTGACCACAAAAACAGACAAACAAAACACCCAAAACACAAAATATAAAAACCAAAAATCAAAACAAAATGTTCCAGACTCCAGCCAGCATAATTTTTCACAGCTTTTTTGACATGTAATTGACATATGATAAACTGTATATATTTAAAGTGTACAGTTTGACCAGCACACATTTTTAAATGAGATGTAACCCTGAAGTTTGCCTTATAATATGTTATTAGGATGAGTAACTATGTTAAATAATGTATGTATGTAAGAACACCAAATGAATCTAGAAGATTGATTATGCTCTCAGTGAATGGTTTTAAAAAAAAAATTGTGAATAATAGAAAGAGAATGATTACTCTTCCTAAATTATAAGTTATTGTTTATGCTTTATGCCATTTTAAAATCTTATCTTCCCCGTTTGTATTTTAGCAGGATGTTTCTTCTGGTAGGAGCACCCAAAGCAAACACTACCCAGCCTGGGATTGTGGAAGGAGGACAAGTCCTCAAGTGTGACTGGTCTTCTCAACGCGGGTGCCAGCCAATCGAATTTGATGCAACAGGTAAAGGTTGAAGCAGTGGTCCCTTTTCTTAATTTATACTATTTGATATTTCTCCCCCTTTTCCCTTCCCTCCTATTGGGGAGCAAGAATGCTTGTCTCCTTTAAAGGTCCTTCTAGCTGGACTAAGAATCAAATTGATAGGAGACAGATTAACAGGAAAGAATCAGATTTAATAGGTGTAAGTACCAGGAAACCACGGAGACATGGAAATTCCAAAGATAGTCAGGCAAAATGAGGTATATACGTCATTCTGAACTAAGAAAGGGGGTAGGGGCCTGGAATTTCAGAGGAAAGGAATGCATTTCATGGAGTGATAAGAAAAGCAGATGTTTGGGGCACCTGAGTGGCTCAGTTGGTTAAGCTCTGCCTTTGGCTCAGGTCATGATCCCAGGGTCCTGGGATGGAGCCCCAAGTAGGGCTCCTTGCTCAGTGGCGAGCCTCCTTCTCCCTCTCCTTCTGCCCCTCTCCCTTGCTCATACTCATGCTCTCTCCCTCTCTCAAATAAATAAATAAAATCTTTAAAAAAAAACAAAACAGAAGAGCAGATGTTTGATAATTAGATGTTTCCCCTACCATACATATGGGTCACTCAGCTAAAATTTATCTCTGTTAATAACTGTTATTCTGGGAAAGACCTTCAATTTAGCTTCTTCTGTGTGGTTAAGGGAAGGACAAAAGTTTCTTTTGAACCTGCAGGATCTCAAGTGCCTTCAGCTCAAAATAATCCATATGCCAGAGTGGTACATTCGGCAGTGGGGGGACAGCTGTCCTGAATCCTTTCATTCCACCCATCTGATATTTTTTAATATCATTTAATTTTTTAAGGAACTTACTTTAACTGAAATGTAACTACTTAATAAAACAATGTATATAAGCAACTCACATCCCCAGAGAAAGTTACATGAAGACAAAAGACTTAAATTATTTTCTCTTACAATTTTGTGGTATATAAAAGCCTTAAAAATACATTGTATTTTCACTGTTTTGGGTGTCTTCAATTTCAAACTAATAGTGTTAGTTCATAGAAATCTGGGGAAAATCTATTAAAATGTTTTTGTACCTCTTCTAAGAAGAGGGAGCAAGGCTTTCTGTCCTTTTCTCTGTCAGAAAAATTAAAGAATGACTCTCTGACAATTGTAGATCAACTCCCTAATCATGAAATCTAAGCCTTGAGTGGTACTACCAAAACCAGTTGAGTCTTTCATATTCAAGTAGATTTGGTTGACTTAAAAAAAAAACTTACCCCACATTTATTGGGTAAATTATGCATTATGGTTTGGATAACATTAAAATTTTATCTACAGAGATAAATTTCTGTGTCAGTCAGATTATGGTAGAGAGGAGAAAAATTGCATAAGGAAGATGAAAAGAAATAAGTTGAGTTTTAATTTATATCTGTGAAATAAAATATATATAATCCTGTACACATTTGTATTGGTATATTTATCTACATTTGTGAAAACTTAGAGAATCTTCAAAGAAATAATGTGACATTGTTCTGGTAAAATAGTTTTACAAAATTTTTTTAGCAATTTGGATTTGCTGGGCTTGATAGAATATTTTAAGGTAAGCCTGAAGATAACTAATTTTTTTTTCCATATCATTTCCTGCTAGTTCTAAAATATATTAGTTCTGGGAATTATATTAGTGAAACAGGAATCATGATGTAGACTGTTCCATTTGACATCCTGATCAGTGCCGAAATGAGTGTCAGTCATTAACTAACTCTTAATAGAAATCAGGTCATGTTTGTTTTTTTCCATTTGAAATCATCTACATTAAACCCTGTTGTTTTTTCCATACATGGCTGACATTTGGAAAACCCCAAGAGTATGTAAATAGGCTCAACTTTACCACAAATGGAGAAATACCAGTGATTCAAAATATTAATGGTCAAGGCATTTATATTTTCTAACAAAATGGAAATAATAAAATGAAACTATAGTTCAGTTTTTATAGGTTGTACTGTTCAGATATAATTCTGTATTCAGCACCATAGGTTTTTATGCAGTATAAGATAATTTATTACTTTTTTGAAATCCAGCTTTATATACTATTTTGTTTATTGAAAAAATAATATATGTACTTGGTCAAAAAATTTCAAATAGTCCAAAAGGGTATACAATGAAATATAGGAGTCTCTAACATCAGCCTGCTTAGAGGCAATTGCTCTACACAATTTTCTTGTAGAATTTTCTTATTCTTACATATGTGTATATCCTTCAAAAAAAGAACCCCTCGCGAATAATAATATACTGAATATTTCTGGTTGGCACCTGACTCTTTCCCACCCCCTCCAGCAATATAAATCTTTTGTAGATATTTCCTTTCCATATTGATATATATAGATTTACCTCGTTCTTTGCAAATCACTGATAGTATCTTATACTTTAGTGTATATAACCTAATTTATTTAACTCATATTTCCCGTTGCTGGACATTTAGGTTGTTTCTAGTTTTTTGTAAATATAAACACTGTAGTAGTGAAAAATCTTGTACTCATGTATTTGTGCAAATGTGTATGTTTGTCAGATAAAGTCCTAGCAGGGGATTTTTAAATATGTATATTTAAAGTTTTGATAGATATTGCAAATTACTCTTCACAGAGGTTTATGCTCCTTCAGTTATGTTTTCTGATATCCACGACAGCACCATTTATCACCATATTTGTCTTTGGTCAGTTTATATTTGTCAATTTTATATTGCATGTTCTTTTATATATTATGTATCTATATCATATATTACATTTGTTATATTGTTTTATATGGTTATGTTAGTTTGCATTTCTTTAACGGTAAGAGAAGCATCTTCGCATTTGTTTGTAAGCCATAGTGTTCTTTGTCCTGCATGCCAATTTTAATATATTTGCACATATTTTCTATTGATTTGTGATTTTAAGAAATGAATCTCAGTTGATGGCATTCCATCCTTTTGGTTGCTTAGGCCAGAAACTGGAGTTATGCTTGACATTTTATGTGTCGGCAAATCAAAATCTAACTGCTTCTTGACATTCTGTTGCTAACATCCTGGTCTAAGCTACCATTGTCTCCCACCTGGACTGTTGTCCTGGACTCCTGAATTAGTAGGGGTACTGCCAGGAAAGAGATGGTATACTTAAATTGGGATAGTTTGAGGAGCTTTTAAGTAAAAGGACTATTTACAAAAAGTACTGTGCAAGGTCTCATTAAAATTGGGCCTTTAGGCCTGAAGGAAGATAGGAAAGGGAGCAGTTAAGGAAAGGGAGCAGTTAACCCAGAATCCAGATGATTAGGTGGAGAGAGCCACAAGACAGGAGTTGTGGCTTTTGTCAGAGGGCAGTAGCCAGCCCAGAGTCACTGGAAGGGAGAAGCAGGGGACTAAAACCCTGACCTCACCCTTCTTCCTCCCTGTGATCCTGTGTGTGCTCCCCACTGTGATCCCTCTGGGAGCCAGCAGGTGGGGCAGCCCGTAAGTTCACACTGGCCAGCATCCTGGGCAAAGAGCAGGGTGCATAGGAAACCTGGAGGGGCAGTTGGAAGAGAGCTGGCACATCTCACTCTTCTCCCCACTTCTGCCCTGGATACCCCTGGACTGTTCTCTACAGCAGCCAGAGTGATTCTTTTAAAACATTCAGATTATAATACTCCTGCTCATATTCCATTAGTATCTTCCTATTTGTCTCATAGTAGCTGAGAGGTCCCTGAGTATTCCAGCCCACTATTTGTATCTTTACCTTCATCTTCTATTCTCCCCTCCATTTTCTTCCAGCCTCACTTTGCAGGGGCTCATAAACAAAGGACACATTCCCACCTCACCCTTGCGTGGGCTCTTTCCTCTGCCTGGAACATTGTTTTCTCAAATGTCCATCGGGTGCCCGCTCCACCTTTAGCTTCAAAAATTGCTCAAATACCATCTTCTCAGTAATTCCCTGACCATCTTATTTAAAATTGCAATTGCCCCTTTCCCACTTTGTACTCTGTCCTTTTTTTGCTTTGTTTTTCCCTGGAATGCTCACATTGCTATATAAGGTATTTATTTTTAGTTAATGTCTCATTCTCTCAATTAGTTTGTATGTTCCATGAGGACAGTTTTTTTTTTGTTTTTTGTTTTTTTAATCTGTTTTATTCACTGCTGAAACCCCAAGGCCTAGAACAATGCCTGTTGCCTAGCACAAGTTGGGGCTCAGTAAATTGGATGGGTAAATGAATGAATGAATCATAAGAGCTTTTACTATAGTTAAATAAAGTTCTTTAGCTATATGTGTACAGATATGTATTTTTGGTCTGTTTTCTTTTTTCCTTATGATATTTCTGTAATCATTTTATATAGAGACTTCCCTCATGAAAAGAATATACAAATTAAGACTTCATTTTTTACATTCAAATACATTCATTTTTAACATTAGAATTTTTGTCCACATAGTGTTCATTTCAATTTAAGAGAAGAGGACACTATAGTTTGCAGTAATCTAGTCAAGATAATGTGTTATCTAGAAACAGACTGTGTCTTGACTGTGGAAGAAATGCTTATAATTTAAGCATCCCCTAAACTTGCCTTACACCTCTCTCCTGAGGAGCTCTCACTCCATCCAAGCCCAAACACATAAGCATCTCTGCACCACAAATGTCTTTTATCTTTTCCAGCGTCTCAAAGAAGATAGTGGCTTTTCTGTCCTTCTTTTGTCATCTCAGTCACATGTCAGGGGAAACAGTAGCTGAGGGGTGGGTGTGGTTTCTTGAGGTGGCCGGCCTGGGCTCAAACACCGGTCCTGCCATTTGTAGCTGTTTAACTTGCACGGGTTACTGTCTTCTCCCTGGTGCAGTGTCCGCCTCAGGCCTGCTCCTGGGTATGCGTTAAACTGAATGAGTTAAAAATGTGTGAGTTCAGACGTGTTAAGGTGCTTGGTACAGGGACCGGCACATCACAGTGGCTCAGTAAATGCAAGCTGCTTTGTATTGTTATCACGTGCTCCCTCAGCCCTTCTCATGGACCCTGCCTCTTCCTTCATTTATCGCTCTGTC